AATGTCGCTCTTCAGGAGCGCTGACCCTGTCCTGCCTGGCGCTGCCCCCCCCACGCCACCGGTAGGTAGCAGGCCAGCACCCCAACCCGCACTCGGGACGGCCTCTGCACAGCTCACCTGAGCTGGGAAAGCAGAGCTGTTTAAAGACATTGCTCACGAGCACAAAGAATCTTCCTGTAGTGTCAATAGTTGCTCCATGTTAAACGGGTTGCAAAGTTTTAAATTTTCCCTGGAATGACAGACATAAGAGGACGTGATGGCCAACTAAATATTATCCTGGGAACACAGTTTCATCCTTTACTATATAATGAGAGTGCCTGCCTGGGGTTTCTCTCCAAAGAGGTAGCAGAACTCCCCGAGCCGGCTCTTCCCACCACAAGCCTGCACCAGGAGAGAAGCCGGGGTCTCCGCAGGTCCCCTCCCCTCTCCAGTTCCTGGTCTCCAGCGTCAATAGGTCATGTCATCTGAGGGAGAGGAAACTCACCATCACTGAACACATGCTGTATGCCTACAGTGCTCATATACTTCTTTCATTTAACCCTATGAACAGGCATTATGCACCCTTTATGGACAGAGGAAGCAGAGGGGGGCTCAGGGATTAGGACCCTGTAAAAGGAGGCAGGGGAGGGAGCCCAGGATCTCTCCCCACACCAAGCTGCCCCCTTCTAGGGACACAGAAGCACCCCACGTCGCCACTGGCAGTTTCTACCTCAGTGTATTCATGCAAAAGCCAGGAACCCCCAACCCCACTCTCTAGCATCCCCACACTTGTGGCTCCCCATACGTAGGCATTCGTCTGGCGTGCAGGTCCCAAAGTAGCAGCTGGTAGGTAGGTACAGCAGCCTCTCGGTAGCTGTCCCACCAGCAACCTCCTTCCTGAGCACCAGGCAAGACCACGCTGTCCAGCCTCCCACGTCCGGTGTGGCCGTGCCCTGGAGTGGGAGCTGACCTGATCTACAGACAGCTCCCAGGCCTGGCCCATCCACCCTTCCACACAGTGCTCATCCCCTCGCCACCTCCGCCCGCTGGATGGAGGAGGAGATAGTACAGACCTAAGCAGGCTGCTCCTCCCTGGCTGAACATCAAATCCCCTGGGAGCTTCACCTGTTTCCCTGCCCAGGCCGCCCTGCAGAACCACCACATCAGGGTCTCTGAGAGGGGAGCCCAGCCATCGGGAGTCCTCGGAGCTCCCCAGGTGACTCCACTGTGCAGCCAGGGTTCAGCCCCACTGCCCTAGAGCGGTGGTCCTCAGCTGGTGTTGCCTGTCCAGCAGCAGCAGCACCTGGGAACTTGTAAGAAAATGCACATCCTCTGCCCCCTCCTAGACCTGCTGCATTGGAGCTCCGGGGAATCCTGTCTTCAGCTCTCCGCCTGGTTCTGATACACAATGAAGCTTGAGAGCCACTGCCCAAGAGGAGGGTAAACACCAGGCAGAAGGAGCCTGGTCCGGAACTGCGGTACCGGGGATACCCACACTGAAGTATGAGTGAGAAGTGAGTTTTTATTGTGTTCAGTAGGTGAGTGTTCGTGTGGCCTAAGAGCTGCTGGAAGATGAGGAGGTGGGACTATGCTCCAGTGTGTGAGCACTGGTCTCTAACTAGTTATTTAATTGTTAAATTTTCAGAAAGTTTGCAAGCCAGCCGCCTTCACACGAGTAGCTTGAAATTGGCTGAAGCTGGAATATTTACACCATGGAAATTGTCAAATACTGCAAGCCAGGGTTTGCTTTCCCAGGGAGCCAGTTGCGAAACATTAACCGGCACAGCACTGGGACCCATTGTTGGAGTGCGAAGGGAGCACAGCGTCACAGCCATGGACCAGAGCCAGCTGCCCAAGGACAGGCCATCAGCACGTGTGGCTCCCGGGCCCAGCCAGCGCTCAGGTTTCTCTCCACGCTGCCCTGTCTTTGCCACGTCCTTGCATTTAGAGCTGCTGAGAGCAGAGGACTGTAGGAAGCAGGAGTGAGGGGTGGCAAATGGTCAGGACTGCCTTACAGGTCAGGAGGGACTGATGGGTCTACATCAGGGTTTCTCAACCTTGGCACCAAGCCGTTTCGGATAATTCTTCATTGTAGGGGACTCTCCTGGGCACTGTGCTACTTTGTGGCAGGTTTAGCAGCATCCTTAGCCTCCACCTACTAGACACTATTAAGTCACCTTCTCTCTTCCCAGGCATGGCCAAATGTCCCCCAGCAGGGCCAAACCGCTACCAGGTGAGTCCTGATTAATAACTCCCCGGAAGAACAGAGACACAGGTCGGGGAGGGCGGGGCCTCCACCCACAGTCTCAGCCCTGCAGCGCAGAGAAGACGTTCTTAGATCCCCTCGCACGCACAGGCTGCTCTCCCCACTGTTCACAGCAAGCTCCTTTCTCTTGCTCCACCGTTGCCTGGTCGCTCCATCTCCTTCCCAGCCACACCCATACCACCCCCTCTAGTTCTTGTTTGGGAGGGTCCACTGGTGCTCTCAGTGTGTCAGACGTGTTAGCTTCTCCTCTCAACACTCAGGACAGTGTGGTAGAGTGATTGACAATATCACTCTACCCAATGGCGGATGGTCTGGCTGGATCCCAACTCTGCCAGGCTTTGGCTGTGTGACGTTGGGCAGGTTCCTTAACCTCTCTGAGCCTCCATTTCCTTGTTGATCACATGGGGAAAGTACTGTTTCCTACCTCACAGAGTTGTGTGAATACAGTGGGGTAGTGCTCCACAAGCTTTGGTTACTGTTTGTCATTAAACAGACTTCAGAGAGTGCACCCAGCAGGGTGGGCTGCGCCACAGGCAGGGGATGCGCAGTGAGCAGGTTTAAGATGTCGTGAAGCAAGTGCCAGGATAGACAACCCTCAGTGCTGTAGGAACCCACAGGAGGAGCCTAACAAAACCTTGGCAGCTAGAAGGAGGCTCCTTGAGAAAATAAAAGCGTGTGCCGTGCAGACCCCGCTGGTCACCTGCAAACACACAGTCACACCCACACCCACCGCCCCAGTCCTCACCCCTCCCAACTCCACAGGGCGGGGGGACGTCCAGAGCCTTCCTGGGCCTTCCTGATAGAACATCAACTTTTCCCCTTATTTTCTTTTTCCGTCCAATTCCCATTCCTGGGTTCTGCCTTATCAGTATTATTTTAATATGCATTTTTATTCCCACCTTCTTGCAACATGGATGCTACATTTCTTGGTGTGGGCTGTTTAAAACCTGTGCTCTGAAACCCCCCCGAGGCACACCAAAGCAGAGATAATATAAGAAAAACGCCACGTAGCCACCACCAGTTTAAAGAACTACCATTTTGCCAATTTTGTTACATCTATTTATCCTCTCCCCTCCATGGTCAAATTCTTCTCTCAGGAATATTTTAAGACAAATTCAAGACATCAGAACATTTCACCCAGAAATACTTCAGTATGTATCTTCAACAGGAAATCACATTAAAAAAAAAACAAAACTTAAAACCACCAAGTTGATTTTTTTTCAAACAAGACATTGTTTTTAAGGTCCACCCATGTCGCCACTGGTGCTTCTGGCCCATCCATTCCTGCTAACCTCTCCATAGAGCCTTGCAGATGTACCCACCACACCTGCCCTCTTCCTTCTCTCGGTGACAAACACTGGGGTTGTGACAGCTCCCCTCCACCACCAACGCAGCTGCAGGGGACGTCCTCACACCTGTGCCCCGTGACCTTCATGAGAACTTCCCTGGGATCAGAACTGCGGGCCACACAGATGACACTTTTACCTACTTTGACCCTGGAGGACCATCCGGGGTCCGCCAGCCCACACCGCACCAGTATGCAGTTCCCTGGTCCCCACCTCCCACCAACAGCTGGCATCGCTTGGCTGTCAACTTATTCACTTAATAGGTGTAAAGTCACATTTAAATTCCTAAATCTTTGGTGATTAACATTGATTTTGAGTACTTGGTCATGTTTGTTAGCATTCAGGGTAAACCGTTCTGAAAATTGCATTTTCACAGCTTTGGACCATTTTTCTGTTGAGGTCACTCTTTTTTTCCTGATTTGTAGAAGGTGATGTGTTCCAGATGTCAGTCCCTTGTCAGTTTCAGACACTGCAAGCACCTCCCCCTTCTGTGCTTCCACCTGCTCCCCTCCATTCAATCATGCGTCCCCAGTGCTGTGGGGACACCCTGCTCATTCGCACCTATTCATGGGCATTGTGTGCTCCTCACCAAGGCCGAGTTTGGGACTAGAGTTGCAACCAACTCTACCCTGAAATGAAGCAGTCAGCCAGAGGGCTTTCAGGAAAGATCTCACTATTCAGAGACACAAGAAGAACCAGTCTCTGCTCTCCATGGATGTTCTTTGGAGGCGACAAGGAGCTGCTGTGGCCACCCTGCCACCAGCCCGAGGACAAAGCCCACCGTGACAGCTCGGCATCCTTGGTGGCAGGATGGAGGCTGCTTCTCTGACCCTGGGGCCTGGCCCAGCTCTGACGTCCCTCTGAGTGAGATGATAAATGTCCTCCTGGCCTAAACTCGATTGGGCCTGGGTTTCGGATGTCTGTAGGGAGAAGGCTGTGGGTGGACACAGTCCCTGAGCCAGTGACTGCTCTCCTGCTCCCACCACCAGTCAGAATTAATTTCATACACAGAGCTGGAACAACGTGGACCTCTGTCATGTCTACTATGCTTGGGTAGTCTATTCTATTTCTTTATTTTTTTTAATGCTGGGTGCAACCCACTAAATTGATTACACAAGCTACTAATGGGTCATGACCCACTGTTTAAAAAATACCGCTCTAGGTCTCAGACCTCTGACCTGAAGCCCGAGAGAAAAAATAAGCTGTCGTCCAGTAAAATAGGGGGGCAGGAAGAGTTTTTCCTACCAGCCCTCAGTGGGAAGGGGCCAATCAGATTCCTCCCTCCCAAGGATGACCACAGAGTGAGCCCTCGATAAGCCTTGCCCGATGGGCCGTGCCCCTGCCCACAGCCCTCCTTCCCTACTAGTGCCTTTCTACAGCCTTTTTCGGCGAACAGAGGAGGCTGGGGCTCTTATCTCACCTCTGCCTGGCTCTCAAGATGCAGTGGGCCCTGAAGCCTGCTAATTAGAGATGGCTGGGAAAAGTACCAGGGCCCTGGTCTGGCAGCTGTGCCTGGCTCTAAATTCAATATCCAGTGCCCTTCGGGGTGAGGGCTCACCTTGATAAGCCCCCAGGACAAAGCAGGGAGACAGACGGGGCTTGTTCTCAGCAGAGCCTTCGCCCTCTGAATACGCTTTTTGTTTAAGCCCCAGGACCGACCGAGAACATTCCATGGCCTGGCGAACTCCCCGTCTTCCCAAGGTCAGTCCTTCCTCAGCAATTCTCTTTGGAAACATCTCCCACGGCTGGCCCTGCTCCTCCTGCCCCCTGGCTTTAGGGGCGGTTATGTAACTCTTAGGAAGACCTAGAAATACAAGCATACGGTGTCCTCAATTCCTGGCAGGCTGGCTGCTTCACATTTATAGCTGGTGCCGAGAGACTGACTTCACACACAGACAAGCACACACGTACACATCCTTGACTCATAACCACATTTCTGCTGCGGAATTGTTTAAAAAATTAAACCCAACACCAGCAGCCTCATCATGATGAAAGAATAGGACATTTTGCTCCAGCACCTTGTGGGGAAGGGGAAGTGCATTCAGTAGGTGGAGGGAAAGGACTCCAAGGCAGGACCCAAAAAGGCCATATGATAGTATATGAGCCCCTCATACTGTACAGCCCCTAAATTCCATGCCGGGGGTTTGGCCAGGCAGCAGGTAGCTTGCAGCCGAAGCCCCCAACCAAAGCCTGCTTGGTGTGGGGCTGAGCTCCCAGATTAGGCATGCATTTATTACATCCTTGCAATGAATACAAGGTTAGTGAAGGAAGCCTGGGTTTGGGGGTGGAGGAGAACCCAGGAAAATGTGTTCTGCAAAATGTCTTATTGGAGACCCTGAAAGTTAAGATACAGAGCGCATTTTATTTAAAGCAGGAAATGGGTATGTACTGAGAGTAGCATAGTTGTTAAGAGCCTACTGTGTAGAGTCAAGACCAGCCGAGACTCACATTCTGGCTCAGCTGATTTCTAGCTGTGAACTTCAACAAGACCCTTAATCTCTGAGCCTTCATTCTCCAATATGTGAAGTGGACATACCTTGTGGGGGTGGTTGTGAAGCCTGAAAGAGATGAGAGAGCCCTTAGTGGGACTGTAAAGAGTAAGTGTTCCATCACTGTAGCTGGTATTGCAGTTCACCCTAAATGCAAGTGGGCACCTTTCATTTGGACAGTGGAGTAAAGACGTGCCAGTTTTCTTTTCTCTGCTGCTCCATGAAGTCTGATTTGCTGCAGAGAGGAGGAGGGCCTGACCTGGGCGAGCCCTTGAGTTGGCTATTACCGAGAAGCCAACTTGGAGTGCCTCGTTCCCCTGAGGTTCCAGTACCTTCTTCGCCTGCTGGCTTAAGGGATACTGCTTTTGCTGCATGCTGCCCTAGGTTTGCTCAGTGAGGACAAGCTGTACTTGTGTTTCCAAGAGGAGGTGTGAGAACTGAGGGGTGGCAGGTGCGCACAGCAGGCAGGGCGGACACACTGACGAGGCCTGGTGCGGTCCTGTCAGGCCTGAGCTGGCTGCCTGGGCCTGGCTGGCTCTTCTAGGGCTCTCTTGGCTCAAACAGCATCTGCCCTCTCACTGCTCACTGCGCTCAGGGGTTAAGGGTGGGGGTTTCCAAAGGTGCGGCTTGTAGACCACCCTAGTGAAGACAGAATTGCCACCATTTCCCTCCTTCTAATTAAATGCATGTTCTCTATGTGCATTTCTCACTCAATTCTCACAGCACACCTACCAACTCCACTTTACAAGGGAAGAGATGCACCAGGCTCCTGAAGATGTCCAGTTTGTAAAGGGCCGCAGCAGCAGGGAAAATGACTTGTTTTCCCACCAGCCACTATGCTAACCCCTTTACATATAATTTCATTGAATCCTTTTAGCAACCCCGAAGCACCGTCCTTATTCTGCATTGAAGGATTTGGGGAGCCCACAACGTCACCTGCCCGGTGCCAGAAGCGTTGCTGACGTGGGGTCTGTAACAGGTTCCTCTTTGGGCTGCCTGCCCTCATTGGGGTTGGGCACTGTGAAGCCCTTCATTACTGCACGTGCGTTACCTCCTCTAAAGCTCACAGGGCGCATCAGACCGGAACCCGTTTAACAGGCGAGGTGGCCAAAGCCCCCAGGGTCTGAGGATGCTGCAGAGTCGCTCAGGTTGGTTTGAACGAGTAGCTCTTGAAGCTCTCGGAGATTTGCGGATTTGACTCCGCGCTACGGTGGCCGCCAAGGGTCTGCTGCACCAAGCAGTGGCCCCGGAAAATCGATCTAAGCCTCCAAACCCATCCACGCCTCGGCCAGCAGAAGAGCAGAGCAGCTCTCCGGCCCAGGGCGCTGTCCCAGCTCTGCGCCCAGGGGCGATCCCAGCAGCGGCTCTGGAGCCTGCGCCCGCAGCTGCCACTTGACCGTGGTCGCAGCTCCCAAATAATCCCCTACCGTGTCCAGGAGTTGCAATGGGAATCTGCAGGTCCAGAGAGTTCCCTCCACGTCCCTGCCCCATGTTTACCACCAGACCACACTGCGGAAGCATTAGAGGCTCATCATACATTTTGAAAATACTGAGAATAGAATCATCTTAAGAGCTCCTCTAATCCTTCCGCCCAGCAAATCATGGTTGCTATTTGCATATTCCATTTCATGGCTATTGTCTTCTTTCTACATAGCTGTCATGAAATGCACATCACGCACATACCAATGTGAAGCCAGGCTTGTTCTCACTTTGTAACATCGGTATTTTTGTCAGGTTATTACAGACCCTTCCTAGCTACAATTTTTTAATGATAGGATTTGTTTTTTATGGGGTGGATATGGTCCTATTTACTGGAGCATTTTCCAAATGTTTCACATTCAAGTGGTTTCCAAAGTTACACCATTATAAATGATTCCTGGAAAACATTCTTGTGTACAGAGCCCTCTCCATAATTACACCAATTTTCTTCCGTTACATGCACGGTGGAATTACTAGGTCAACGGATGTGAACGCTTGTCAGCGCTTGCAGTATTATTGGCGGACGGCTTCCCATGGAAGCCTTAGGCAGGGATTTCATACTTTGACCATTACTTCTTACCTCCCAGAATTTTCTCCCAGGAAAACTTATAAAATATCCTTTCATTGAGATGTAGTAACCCTTTCTGAGATTATCTACATTTAAATCAGGATCAGAGCTTGACACTGAAAGATGTGTGCCCAAATGGAGGGCCTTCCACATCAGAAAGAACATCAGGGAGGTTCTTTTGGTTTAGGAGGGTTTTCTGGTGACTCTGAGCAGTAGCCTCCTATGCTGCTTGTGAGGAAGCAAGGCTCCCAGCCCGGTCCCGCAGTTCTGAGAAGCCAGGGGTTGCAGTGTAGGCGGGAGAGAGTTCGGTTTGGGGGAAGTGAAATAAGGCACCAATCCATGAGCGATCAATAATCACATCCTTCCTCTTACCGATAACAAGGTAATAAGGAGTGTTGACATTTGATCGTGGGGTAACGTCCTCCCAGCCGTTTGCCACGTGCACCAGTGGTCAGGCACATTAAGATAGTGGAACTAACTGCTGTCGGCGCGCGGGGTTCTGGGGTGGGGATTGAGACCTTCTTACTGACTCTGTGTAAACCTCCTTGCTCTCTAAGATCTTCAGGCCAGAGATACCACCCCTTGTTCTACCTGTCATTTCCAGTGATGAGTTGCAGGTAACCAGCAGGCAAGCTGTCCCCAGTGGGCAGGGGGCTTGGGGTCCTGAGAGGCAATGAGAAATATCTCTTGCGAATCAACACTATGCCTGGCTGGGCAAATCCCTACATCTCTTCTTACACACACTCTCCCTGCTCTTGGGTCCTCCCCTACATCCAAGCTTTGGGGTCCCCTCCAGTTTGTAGACACCCGCCACACTAGAGCCCTTCATCTGACAGTAGCAGGCATTGTGATGCACCGCCCAGGTTTCTCTCCAGAACCCACGGACTTATCCTCTGGCTGCTGGGGCTGCCTGTCAGACAGCCCTGGGCCGCCAGTCCTCTCCAGGGTCATTACCCCTTTCTGGGGCTGTCCACGTCCAGTGGCGGGTCAGCATGGGTGTGGAGGTATGGTTCCCTCACCCCAGCTTTGCTGAGACTGCTCTGCAGCCCAGTTTCTCTCCCTGCCAGGACCGTCTTCCTGCTTCCCTTCCCTCCAATGGTGCAGATCGCAAGAGTACTCCCTGACCGATGTCCCGGATGGAACTCTTCATCATCTGGAGGAGTGCAGCCCCGTACGTAACTCCAGTCCCACAGGAAGTGCTCACTTGCTACTCTCTAGGCCCTTGTTCAACAGGCATTATCTAGTAGACCTAGGGGGATAAGTCATAACTCAAAGTAGGCTAATTTATGGCTCTGTGGCTTCTTTTTGTGTTGCTTTCTGATCCTCAGAATAACTGTCACACTCTGACATCTATTTCTAGGTGGGATGGACAGAACAAGGACCCCCAGTGATACCTAGGTCATAATACTCAGAACCTGTGAATATGTTAATTGCATGGCAAAGGGGAAGTAACATGACAGATGGAATTAAGGTTGATAATCAGATCGTGTAAAAATAGGAAGATTATACTAGGTTATGCTAATGGGGCCAATGTAGTCACTAGGATACTTAAAAGTAGTAGAGGGAGGCAGAAGGAGGAGAGGAGAGTGGAACATGTCTGTGGAAGAGGATGAGAGAGGCGCAATGGCAAAAGTGCCTGACTCGCCGTTGCTGGCTTTGAAACGGAGGCAGAGGCCACCAGCCAGGGACTATAGGTGGCCTCGAGAAAGTGCAAAAGGAAAGATTGTCCCTTGGAGCCTCCAGGAAGGAATGCAACCCTGCCAACCCCTGAGTCTGGGCAGTGAGACCCTTGTCGGATTTGTAGCCTACAAAACAGTAAAGTTGTTTTGTTTTCAGCCACCATCTTTGTAGTGATTCACGCAGCACAGAGGAAACATCTACTAGGCAGTTCCAGCTTCCTAGTGATTCCAAGGGGCTGCTTACAGGGAAGGTAGGTCTTGACAGGGGCGAGGAAGTGGAAGAAATTGGTACAACTTCTCACACTTGGAGTTGGTTATAGACTGAGGGCTGGTGTCCCCCCTTCGCATGTTGAAGTCCTAACCCCCAATGTGGTGGTAGGAGGGGGTGGGGCCTTTGGGAAGTGATTATGCCATGAAGGTTGTGCCCTCACAAATGAGATTCGTGTCCTTTCTGCCGCATGAGGACACGAGAGGATGGCAGTCTGCGACCCAGAAGAGGGTTCCCAAAGAGCCCTGGCAAGCTGGCATCCTGCTCCTGGACTTCCGGCCTCTGTAACTGTGGGAAATCGACTGCAGCCCCCAGTCCACGCTGAGCTGTTACCGCCGCCTAAATGAAGACAGCCTTTCTGTCTTCGTCCTACCACCGAAGGAGAAATGTTCTCTGTAACCTATGCTTTTGGAGTGAAATAATAAATCTGAGAATTTTACCAATAGAACAGTGTATAGAGTTCATGTCTATCAATGATTTTCAAGATTTTTTTCCCCTGGGAACTTTTTTTTGTGAAATAGGAAGTCACAGACAGCCAATCTGCAAGACAGATTTAAAGTGACGCTGTTCCGATCGAAGCCCACGGTCCCTTGGTTTTCCCCTCACCGGAGAGGCTCTAGCACGGAGCACAAAGTTTGAAAATGGCAGACCTGGGTCACGGGGCCCCTGGGCTGGAGGTCAGCAGGGCAAAGCCGGAACACACGTCTTCAGTCTCTACCCAGAAGCCTCAGCAGCGATGGGCTGGGGGCTGTTCTCAAAACACTCCATGGGGACAGGCTCCCTCTGCCTTTTCTGATCAGTGAGATGGAGGCAGTGTTGCAGAGCGTGTGTGGGTTTCTACACACAGATCTACTCCTTTGCATGTGTTTGTGTTTATGTTTTATGTCGCTGCTACGTACAGAGGCTTCCCACCCACAGCCACTCTGTGGACGAACCAGGCACCTTCCACCATGGCATGATACATGCAGCAACAAAAGCACCGCCTGACTCCAGTGTCCGTCCCCAGCCACCTGCCTCGATGCCTGTCACCCCACCATCAGCGCTGCCTCCAGAAGGCTGACTTCCAAATTCAAAATCCACATGGTGTTACCTTTAAACATCTTTAAAAGCAGGACCTCACTTTGAATCTGTGGATTTTTGCAATAAATGTTCTTTCCTACCAGCACACAAACTAATGGAGCATCTTGCCATTGACTTGAGAGGACGAGAAATACGTTCATCCACTAGTGTCCTTAAAGCGGAGATCAGGGGCTACAAAGAAAGAAAACCAGAGAGAGGAGTTGAGTGCAGAAAAGGATGAGCAGGAAAGGATCTTTGCGTACATAGGGGAGTGTGTGTGGTGTGTGCGCACGTGTGCAAGGTAGACGTTCCATAGTATGAGGGATCTGAGCAACCGAGAGCAAGGGGTCAAGAACACGAGAGGAGGGTCCCTCTAGGGTGATAGAAAGTTTATGTCTTGACAAGAAATGACATAAATTAAGGTCCTCCTTTGTTCTTAGAAGCACATGAGACTCCAAAATGGTTCAGAGTTTGTTACAATGACGTCTCTTATTTCAGACTCTGAAAGTAATCAAGTATAAATATAGAGTTTCAAGCATGAATTCAACTCCTTAATCCTACAAAATGATGTACTTCTCATTTCTGTGTACTGGCTAAAGATGAGACGACAGCTAGAGCCAGCAACAAGGAACCACAATTAGTCAAACGGATTTCTGTTTGCTCCTCCAGTTCATTAGGTTAAATGAACCGTCAATTCATTAATCAAAGGAAACAGGCCCAAAGTAGTTGCCAATCCCAGAACGACATTTAAGATCTGAGCAATGAAAATATACTCCTGAAATACAGACACACTTTCATTAATTAGTAACTATGATTAAGACGCGAGTTTGTTGTTTAAACAATTTTGTTTTGGAACAGAAGGGGAAACCAAAATGGCAACTCAGGGACTTGTTATTCCATCTTCTCTGCTGCAAGAAATTAGCTATCACTTGGTGTCCAGCCAAGGCCCAGAAGTCCCGCTTTGCTTGCCTTTCTCTATAAATTTGGAGAGGTGCTTCTCTGGAAAGCAAATTGGCACCAACACATCATAAAATTCTGTGCAAAGGGACAACAGACCTTTAAAAATCACCCAGAAGAAAAACAACAGTTTCCTGCTAAAAGATTCATCATGTTACTCTCTGCGGCTCACCGATATGAATGCAAATGGTTGGAATATTTTCATGTTTGGCAGAAAAGCACAAAGGTCTAAAGAAGAAATATCACCAATGGCTTCGCTGAGCAGAACATAATGAACGGAAAATCTCTCAGCTTAGCAACTCCCCCTCCAGACCTCGGAGCTCTCAGTGGTGCCCAAACCCTGTTCCCAGGGAGCTCTGCAGAATCTGCTGGCATTGAGCAACCCACTAGCTAATCGGAGGGAAGGTACAGAGAGACACGGAGCTGCAGCTGTGACCACAGAGCACAACCTTAAGCGCACAAATGGGCTAAGGGAGCTGAAAACTCTGTGAATGGGTCCCCTCTGTGAAGTCAGTTCCCTGAACCTAGCTAACCCGGTTAGAAAGTTGCCATGCCATAATGCAGCCGACATTTCTTGAGGACACTTTAAACACAAGGCATCACACTGGGCACCAAGGAGGGTGCACATTGACATCATACAAAAGCCCTGCCCTCAAGGAGATCCCCGGTCAGAAGTGACCACGATAGGCATTTTGGGGTGCTGTCTCCCAGCCACAAAGGATGGGGTAGGAGTCACAGGGGAGGGAGACACGCACTCTGATTCTGGACGGAGGGAGGGAAGCCAATGGTGAAGAACACATGGTAGGTGGAGGGAGGTGCACTTGGCTCAGATCTTGGAGGAGTGGGACTTTAACAGGGAGTGACTAGAAGGGACGTGGGTGCAGAGAAAACAGTGTGAATGAAGGGATGAAGACCAGAAGGCACAAGGGTCCTTGGAGGAAGGGTGAGCTGCTCGGAAGGCTAGCACTGGAAAAAGGAAGGCTGGGGCTGGACCAGGATGGGCAGCCCAGGTGTGGTCCTGCAGGACCAAGGACACTGAGGCCCTGTGGAGCAGGCGAGCATCCTACCAGGTCACTCTGTCTTTGCCTCAGCCCCACACTGCGAGGGTCCTATAGGGGAAGGCACAAATGCCTCTTGTAGGCTGGTTTTCGGGCAGGTAAAGAAATTGCCCTGAGCATGGTCTGACCTCTTTGTTCAAAGGTTTTGTTGAAGTCCAGCTGCCCCTGCAACAGGCTGAGAGGCCACACCCTGCGCCACCAAGGAGAACCGGGACAGCAGAGCCCAGCCTTCTGGGTGACGTTCCTACCCTCCCAACCTGGAGCTGGATTCTCAGAGGTAGAACCCTGCTGAACGCTACACCTATGCTTTCCATCCGCAGGAATCTGTAGAGATTTGCCTATTTGGGGAATCATGAGATGAGACATTGTGGATCTGGCTTTCTGCACTCGGCGTGTTTTCACGGTTCGTCCACGCTACAGCGTCATCAGCCCTTCGTCCCATCTTAATGGCCAAGTAGCTTTCCACGGTGGGTGTCCCCAGTTTTGTTTTCCATTTGACAGTCGGTGAACATTTGGGTCGTTGCCACTTCGGCTGTGATGCATTACGCTGTGATGGACCCTCATGGACAAGCTGTTGTGTGGACACACGTTTCCGGTTATCTTGGGGACACGCAATGGAGTGAAATTGCTGGCTCTTTTCTCATTCCTCCCTACTTCTCCCAGCAACTAGCACAAATACCGAATGAATGAAGGAAGGAAGGAATGCAGCTCATTGTCTTAGAAGACATTATTTGGGGGTTACTACACACACCACACAGCAACATTAATGACTATTACTGGCATTTAACCTTCTCACAGCCCCTTTCTTGGCTCACTCGGGTTGAGGTAAGCCTGGGCTGTGGTAGCTCACCCACCCGGCCCTTCTCAGGAGGCCGTGGGAGCTGGGGCAGGGTGTGCGGCTCCACAAGTCCGCAGGGAGCAGAGGCTGGTCCCGACTTGGCAGGTTTTGGGGCAGCAGTGGCCCCACAGTCTGGCTGACTCACTCCAGGAGCTAGAGCTGCCAGGAGCCCATCAGCACAGATGGGGCTTCACGACTGCTGCTTGGAGCCAGGCCGCACTGCACTGATCTGCTGCGCTCAGGGATGCTCAACAGTACAAGGGCCTGAGTAGGTGTTCTGGGGTAAGGGGCGTGGCCTGGGGTGCGGGGCGTGGCCTGGGGCGCAGGGATCCTCCTGCGCTCTTAGTCCAAAGAGCCTGCTGCCCACAACCCGGTGGCATGATCAGTGATCGGGGGCCACACGGGGACATGGGGCTCTCACCCTGATACCACGTGCCATGATGGGGCCCCAGCCTCTGCATACACCCTGTGCATCACCTCCCACGTTCCTGCCCTGGGCACTGCTGCGCAGCTCAGCTGGCAGCACCAGAACAGGGCGGGGCCATGCCCTCCAGGGGGTGTCCCTATAGCGCACCCCTCTCCCGGGTCAGGCTCCTCACAGATGGTCTGGCCCTGCAGGCTCCGACTGAGGACCCAGCTGCACAGGGTTCACTGGTCGGAGCAAAGGTACAGCAGGCAGGGGGACAGTTAGGGAGGGGCTGAGGGAAAGTCCTCTTCCCACCCGGGCAGGGGTCGGCCCGCCCCCTGTCCTCCTCTTGGCTTTCTAACCGCCCTTCGGGCCCAGCTGCCTCCTCCTCCCTCACTGGTGGACTCCCACACACTCCGTCTCTCCGCACCTGGGCAGGGCCCTTACTCCCCAGTGCGACTCCAACGCGTTAGGAGGAGACCGTCTCTTCTTCTGTTACGGCTTCTCTGAACCCTTCAGAACACAGGCCCAGCCCCCCGTTCAGAAGTCGGCAGAAACCTTGGCTCTGCCTAATGTCATTCCCCAAAACCTGGCCTTTTCTCAGAGTCTCCATGGGTTTTCTCCCATGTAGCCAATAGTTTATGCCTCAGTGTTATTTAAGGTCTGTTTCAAGTGTTTTGTTTTAAAAAGTAGCACATGTTCAATATAGGAAATAACAAAATCACACAGAAAGAAACAAAAACCATTCATAACCCACATAACTCCTAGAAAATGTTGGTGTATAGTCTCCTGTTATTGTTCTTTTTGTGTTTATTACTTTTTAAAAAATGTCATCATAATGTACATGCTGTATTACAACCTACTTGATATATTTTGAATGTATCATGATGCCATTAGATAACTTTTTGCTAATAATTTCAGTGGCTGTATACTATTGAAATACCCCCTGAACTCAATGTACTTCATTAATCAATACCCAATTGTTCCTTATGCTGACAGCTTTTCATTTTCAAACTTATAAATAATGTCATGATAACTAATCTTCTGTGGAAATATTTATGTACATCCTTGAATATTAGCTTAGGACGCATTCCGAGAAATGG